ATATATAATATTCATGAAATTCGTAACTTTCAATATTGATAAGTGAAATGTGGCATCCCAAATAACTCAATCACTTGGAGATAATTTAGTTTGTCTCAACTGCTGCGCATTTTTTATTTGAAAATTCATTTGCTACAAAAGTAATAATATAATTAGTACCCCGATGTTCTAAACTAGGCCATGCATGTTTCTGTTTATTAACCGTGGACCGATTCCGATCGTCAAACATTCAATCACTGGTTTAAGAAACACAAATTCTTACTGTCAAAACGGGGTCGATTCAAAAAATTAGGATGGTCTATAAGAGACAAATATTAACCTGCATACAATTTTTGTGGAGGTGATTGTAATAATTAAAAAATGCTAGTTATAATTAAGAGAATTAATGGAGATGGTGAATAAATGGACAAGTGGGAAAACTTTTGTGGTGCAAATAAGATGCATAAAAGAAAAATAAAGATATATAATAAATTAATAATGGTAATAGAGTGTGAAAACCGGAACAGGAGCATATGGTATATGCTTTCATGAATGGGCCTAAGCAGTAATCAATAATTCAGCTAAGAAAGGTAGGCAGGCAATTCTTGTCATATACAATTACTGGCAGCCGTTGATCGGTGGGACTTTAACTTGAGTCCCCTTATTTCAAACTCAACTTTTAAGATGAATTATACAGTGTTTAATCATTGAAAAATATTCCTAAGCTAGTTTGCACCGAAGATATGATGAAGGACATGACATTACATCTGAAAGATGTAAATTATGCCAAAGACCAAAAATGATTAACCCTTTTGGAATGAGTGGTGGGTCTTAACTTAACACTTAAGGCCATCTCCAACCGAAAAACCCATACTCAAACCAACCGAAAAACTTATACTCAAACCTATTTTGCAGTAACTGTCTCATTTTGCAGTAATTCATCTCCAACCGAAAAACTCATTTTCAAACTCAATAGAATATGCTCGAAATATTCTCTCTTACATTAACTTTTATAATTTTTCAATGGACAAAGTCCACTTTTGGTCCTCCATGTTTATGGGGTATCCAGACTGAGTCCCCATTATTTTTTGCTGCCCAATTTTAGTCCTTAAAACAAAAAATGTAGTCCCTATTATGTTTTGGTGCCCAATTTTAGTCCTTAAAATAAAAAATGTAGTCCCTATTATGTTTTGGTGCCCAAAATTTAGTCCTTAAAACAAAAAATGTAGTCCCTATTATGTTTTCGTGCCCAATTTTAGTCCTTAAAACAAATAAATATAGTCCCTATTATGTTTGGGTGCTCAATTTTAGTCCTAAAAATAAAAAAAATGTAGTCCATATTATGTTTTGGTGCCCAATTTTATTCCTAAAAACCAAAAAATGTAGTTCCTTAACCTCAATTTATGTGAATTAACGGTCCATTTTTGTTAATAACATCAAAGTAGTTGTGTAAAATAATTTAAAACATCGAAAAGATGTAATCAAATTTCAAAGGAACAAATTATTGACTGTAATCAGGTCAATAATTTAATATTTAATAATTAATAATTATGCAATGAATGTATCATAATTTTAAAATAATATTTAATAATTAATAATTTTAAAATAATATTTAATAATTTAATCAGGTCAATAATTTAATATTTTAAAATAATATTTAATAATTTAATATTTAATAATTAATAATTTTAAATATTAAAATAATTTAATAAGTAATAAGTAATAATTATGCAATGAATGTATCATAATTTTTATAATCAGGTCAATAATTTGTTCCTTTGAAATTTGATTACATCTTTCCGATGTTATAAATTATTTTACACAACTACTTTGATGTTATTAACAAAAATGGACCGTTAATTCACATAAATTGAGGTTAAGGGACTACATTTTTTGGTTTTTAGGACTAAAATTGGGCACCAAAACATAATATGGACTACATTTTTTATTTTTAGGACTAAAATTGGGCACCCAAACATAATAGGGACTATATTTATTTGTTTTAAGGACTAAAATTGGGCACGAAAAACATAATAGGGACTACATTTTTTGTTTTAAGGACTAAAATTGGGCACCAAAACATAATAGGGACTACATTTTTTATTTTAAGGACTAAAATTGGGCACCAAAACATAATAGGGACTACATTTTTTTTGTTTTAAGGACTAAAATTGGGCAGCAAAAAATAATGGAGACTCAGTCTGGATACCCCATAAACATGGAGGACCAAAAGTGGACTTTGTCCTTTTCCAATACTACCCATATATTTTACAACTTTACAAATTAAACCACACTATTATTTTTATTTCAATTTGTATTACTAATGTTGTTATTTAATGTTAGTGTTTTAGTTTCTTGCCAAACAAAAATACCATAAATAATATGTATATTTTATATTATTATTGTGAAATATATACAATTAAATGATAAATATAATATTTATTATTTTAATATTATATTATCTAATTTAAAAGAAATTGAGATTTTTTAGTAGTTTACATATTGTGAAAAAATATAAAATTAATATTCATTATTTTAAATATTATATGAAAAAGATATAAAATTAATATATATATATATATATATATATATATATATATATATATATATATATATATATATATATATATATAAAACTACACACAAAATATTATTTTAATAAAAATGGGGCTAAAATGACAAAAGGCAAAATATAACAAATAAAAAGAGGGGCTGAAATGAAAAAAAAAAGTTCAGACGCAAAATTTGAGTTTAGACGCAAATATGCGTCGAAAGAGGAAAGACAAACGGGAAAAACGCAAATTGCAGATGCGTATGGAGTTCGGTTGGGGTGAACTTGCTGCAAAAAATGGGTTTTGGTGTACGGTCGGAGAAGGTCTAAGTCTTGTGTTGACGAGCGTTTTCGGTCAACGGTTAAAATGGAAGATATTGAAAACGTGAAACTGGAAATAAAGGAAAGATATGATTTAATCACGATTCTTATTAAAAGATCACTAGGTCGGCCCCTCGTACGAGGTCGGCACTTGCGATGTACTTACAATTATTATAAGAGATTCTTTACAAATTTAGAGAGAGAGAATAGGAAGAAGCTAAAGTTAGTTGAGGATTCAACAACCCCAAAATAAATGAGGTGAGCTGCTATTTATAGTACTCTTAAATGAGGTACTGTTCACCGGTCTTGTCGCACAGTAGGTTTGCAGAGCAGTTCGGCGCCTCCCTGACAGTTCATTAATGCGATTTGAGGTTTCTCCAATCATTGCTTGCTAGGCATTTAATGCAAGCATGAGTAGCATTTAATGCTGATTGAATGACTGTGACAGGCCGTCCCATCAACGAATGATGACCTCCCAAGTGGCGAATATTTTAATAGCGACCAGATCTAACTTATTCAGATCGGCACCTTCGCTCTGAAGGTCCGCGCGGCCCGGGTGAGCCTTTCTCCAGTTCGGTACCGTGATGAGACCGGCCCGAAACCCCACGAGTCTGAGTGCCGGGCTCGGGAAGCATTTTCTTCAACCCGGACTGCATATAATTCCTCGACTCAAGTCGGCTCCTGCGCTCCTGATCGGCTCGACACTTTTCAGAAGTTCGGTCTTACACAGTTCATGGGGACGACCCGTTTAGTCCTGACCCGACCGATCCGGATGTCAACATACAGGCCCCGGAGCTTGGAGGTGAGGTCCGCGACGTCTCCTCTGAGGTCGTCACTTTAGACAACCCGGATCGGCTCTTCCGCTGCACTTAGCGTGTGTAAGATTGATCTCATGGCCGACATTAATGACGTCAGCTGAAGGGACGTGTACTTAATGCGACCTGACAGTTGCTTTCCTGTCGGTTACGAAAAGTCGTGCAGCTTTTATCGTGGCCTACGTGGCGGACACGTGTCGTTGCCCCATTAAATTCCCAGAAGGTCGTGTGCGTCGGTTGGCGGCGGT